CTTCTACAGTTAGGATATCTGGGTGATGGGAAGGGCCTGGGATAGGCCAAACCTTCCCCTAGACCAGGGTTCTTCCTCCACTCTGTGGAAAGCACATGGATCCCTTTCAAATCATTTGCAAAATCTTGTGTTTATAGGAGTTCTGGGTAGATGTTCCACAGTGCCTATCATTTTCTCGAAGAGTTAAGAGCCATCACCCTGGAATATAGAGGCCCAGAGCTCCAGACTTTAGCATCAACTCTCTTGTGTCCAGTTCAGGCATCACCTGAAGCACAAAGCAGGGAACACTCTTTAGTACTGGAGCCATAGCCATGCCCCATCTTCCTGTGTGAAGGGAAATAGGCTCCTGTCCCCTCCCTCTACCACAAAGCACCCGTGGTTTTGATTTAAAACATCACATGCCTGGAAAATAATGTCCCCCCAAAAGTTATGTGTTTAGAAAAAATTTTTGGAAGTACAGTTGACACCAATAGTTTTTTAAAGAATGAACTATGCAAGACCATAGCCAAAATACCCTAATGTCTTTCACAAAGCAGGTAAACTTATAACAGTCTCTGCCTGCAATTTGACTCTGCAAAGTGTGAAGGAAAAAAAAAAAAAGCCCCAAAGACAGACAAGTAGCTACTTAGATAGTAGCTGTGGATTTTAAATCTATAGACAGAAACAGTGATACCCACAAACCTTTGTAACATTTTTGCCAGTTTCTTACAAGCCCATAATTAGTTGGTTGTAAACTTCACGTGAGACTTGACATCACAGGCTTTTTATGTAGAAGGTGGCAGAGTGTGTATTGGCTAAAAGAAGTTTTGGCCCCACTGCTTGAGTGTGGCTCCATGGCTTCCCTACTTCCCTGGAGTGTGATTTGGGGCATGGTAACTAATCTAGGCTTTGACTTCCTCCTTACTAACACAGGAATAATATTTTGCAAGTCTGTGTGAGGATTAAACAGAATAAGACTTACAAATTCCTTAGCCCCATGCCTGGCACGCATAAGTCTTCAGTAAATATTAACTGCTACCCACATAAGGTTCAATTTCCAAAGGAAAATCAGATTGTGTAGTAATGATCAGGAACTGAATTCTGGAAGCTCAAAGTCATTTGTTTGATCAGGCCTAAATGGGTCTTTTGTTGTTCAGCGTAATAAATGAATAGCTTTCAACTGTTTCAGGTGTTAGGCAAAGCTTCTAAAACAGTGGTTCACAACCTTGGTTGCATGTTAGAATTAAGGGGGGGGGGGTGTTAAAAAACCTGATGATACCTGTGTTTCAGGCCAGATTAATTAAATCAGAGTCTCTGGGGGCGGGAGCAAGCCATCAGAGTACTCCTAACAGTCCTCAGGTGATGTCACGCACAACCAAATAAAGTTCTCATTTGCCCTAAAATTCTGAAACCACTATGGAGTTGCATTAACAGTAGAAAAGTAGTTCAGAAACACAGTACCCAGCCAGAGCTAGGTGAAACTTTCCACGAGAGGCTGAAAGGGTTCTAAAGAAGATAAATCTAAAGAACACTGATTTTCATCCGTACCACCTTGTAGGTATCAAATCAAACTCTATATTCTTAGCAAAGCCCTGTAGAGAGAGCCTATCCTAAGTAATTAAAACTCAACTTGAACTTGTTTAGGTTGTTCTCATAGCAAATTAGCCAGGTGTGCAAAAACATGTATATATTCCATCAGCCTCAGAAGCTGATTTCAGAATATCACTGAAACGTTACTAATTGATATATCCATTGTGTCAGCCTGTAATTATAATCTAGGATCAGCTGGAGGGAGAGGGAAATGTGGACCTATTGTTCAGTGGGTACAGGGTTTCAGTTTGGGGTGATGAAGAAAAGGTTCTGGAGATGGATGGTGGAGATGGTTGCTTTTCTGTGTTCTTTTACGTGCAGCCACAAGGGGAGCACAGGAAAGGCTCGGGACAATGAAGTTTATCAGACTCACAGGAAACACTGTACAACACCAGAGCCACATGGAAAGTACTAGAGTGGGGGGGGAGGGGGAGAAGGAGCAGGAGCTGGAAGGACAGCCTGGCCTCTCCAGCTGAATATTGTCTCTGGGATATAGGGCCTGATGGAGGGGCTCTGGCTTGGTTAACTTTTTTTTTTTATATATTTTTTATTTATTTCTAGGAGAGAGAGACAGCGTGAGCAGGGGAGGGTCAGAGAGAGAGGGAGACACACACTCTGAAACAGGCTCCAGGCTCTGAGCTGGCAGTCAGCACAGAGCCCGACGCGGGGCTCGAACCCACGAACCGCGAACCCGGAGATGATGACCTAAGTCAGACGCTTAACTGACAAAGCCACCCAGGTACCCCCTGGCTTGGTTAACTTTGCATATCAAAGGACCACTCCTGGGTGAGCCCTGGGCTGTCTCTTAAGAATGGCTAGCTCTGGGCCACCTGGGTGGCTTAGCCAGTTAAGTGTCTGACTTCCGACTTTGGCTCAGGTCATGATCTATATATCAAAACATCTTGATATATAGAAAATAAAAAACAAAAACAACACAGGTGCACAACAATATAAATGTTCTTAATGCCACTGATACGACACTTGAACATAGTTAAAATGGTAAACTTTTATGCTATATATATTTTACAATTAAAAACAAACCCAGGGTCCACAACATCAAAAATGGTGAACTCTAGGCAAGAGACGAGGAATACAGGGGGTAAAAAATGGTGAGGTACTGGGGCGCCTGGGTGGCTCAGTCAGTTGCGCAACTGACTTCGGCTCAGGTCATGATCTCACGGTTTGTAGGTTCGAGCCCTGCGTCGGGCTCTGTGCTGACAGCCAGCTCAGAGACTGGAGCCTGTTTCAGATTCTGTGTCTTCCTCTCTCTCTGACCCTCCCCTGCTCTCTCTCTCTTTCAGAAATAAATTTTAAAAATGTTTTAAAAAATGGTGAGGTAGGAGAAGACAAAACTTACATCAAGAACTTCAGGGTTCCTGAAGTATGTCACTTTTTCCAGTGTAAAAGAAGAAATTATTTCCTCCAAAATCTTGGCCACCTCATGAAATAGAAATTTTAAGCATTTCTAAAAATTACCCAGTATGATGGATGAAAGGGAAAGGAAACAAATACTACAGAATTGCTTCATCCTCTAAAACCATTTTTCACTTCTCATTGCTCTCTATTGCTCTCTAATGAGATCAGGAACCATGGTACAGGACATTCCCCGCTGAAAACCTGACTCATATTCAAGTGTGACACCCCAGTGCTGAGCCCCGTCTACACTGCCCGTTATGGCTAGCCAGTTCAGTGTCATCGTATGCTTTGGCCAAACTAGATCATAAGCTCAGCTACAGACTTTTTCTATGACAGCGTGTTGGTTGTGTGCGTGTGTATTAACTAATATATTTTAATCTATTAGACTTTTGCACCCATTAACCTGAATTTCTAAACTTCAAAGTCACCCCTTGGATATAAGTACCGTCTATTTCTCATCCAAAATAATTTGGCTGATAAGAAAATTATTGCTCTGTTGTGTATTCCCACCTAACTTTCCTTTTCTCTGTATAATCAGGGAAATCCACCATGAATTCTTTTTCCTTGCTCATCCGCCGAGTCTTTCCTCCATTCCCTATTCCAGGATTCTCTGGCATAAACACCGCTGGCTGCCAAACCTCCCTGCTCTTGTCCTAACATAAGCAGCCTAAAGATGACTACTCTTCTCCATCCCTACAGTTCACTTTGTATATCCAGTTGCCAGATGCCTGCAGAGTAAGTACCCGGGGGGAAAGGAAAAAACCATTCCTTTTTCTGGCAAAGGAGCGTGGAGGAAAGAAGTCGCAGCTCTCTAACTCACAGGCTTCCACTGGTATAAAAGTCTCTATAGCATTATAAAGAACTGGTTTTAAAGACAGGGTGTGATTTCCATTTGCTTTCCTCTTTTCTGCAAGCCATGTGGGAGAGTTTGATCTTTATCTAGCATGCACTATCCTTTGAATCTGACCCAAACTTGCACTGATCCCAAAATACGTAAGGGATCAGATGGGAACTGGTATACCAGTTTGAAAACATAGGTCAATGGGCAAAGATGTGTCAGCTTTCCAGTATTTAGGACATTGTTCTAAGAGCATTTGTTCTAAGGCAGGCTATAGCCATGAATGTGGCACCTGACTGAGCACTCTACTAGCTGTCAAGGAAGTTGGAATGTTTGTCCTGACTCTGCCAGCTAGCCAGCCCTTGGGAACTTGGGCAAGCCACCTAACTTCTCGCATTTTGGTGTCCTCACTGAAGGAAAGAACGACTACTAACTTTGTGGAGTACTTAGTGCATGAGCACTGTTTTACATAGCTTGTACATATTACTCCCTGTCATCCTCCCAACAAACCTAAGAAGTAGGTACTGTTTTCATTATCACCCATTTTACAGATGTAAAAACTGAGGCACAAAAAGATTTGTTTTCCTACCTATGGTCCCAAAGCCATATATGGAGCCAGGATTCAAGATCAGTCTGTGCCATGTCCAGAACCCATATTCTAGGTGACTTTTCTCTCTGAATTGTGATAATTAAGTCAGATTATGTATTTGGACATGAATGCAACATATTTTTATTAACTTTTCTGAAGTTTACTTCCTCATCTGTCAGAGGAGACAATACTTGCATTTCAGAGTTTTTGATCAGGAATAACCATGGAAGAAGAAGATTTTGCTACCTTTTACCACAACTGGCACACTCAAAAAACACATTTTGTTCTTTTTTTTTAAACGTTTATTTATTTTTGAGAGAGAGAGAGAGCAAGCATGAGTGGGGGGTGCAGAGAGAGAGGGAGACACAGAATTGGAAGCAGGCTCCAGGCTCTGAGCTGTCAACACGGAGCCCAATGCGGGGCTCGAACCCACGGACCACGAGATTATGACCTGAGCCAAAGTCAGACGCTTAACCGACTGAGCCACCCAGGCGCCCCAAAACACATTTTGTTCTTAAATCTTAAGAAATTGCACATCGTCTAAGCCTATCCACTGCTAATATAATTTTTCCTATTTGCTTCTTACAGATTTTTGCATACATGAATGAAACCTCTTCCCGAAAAGAAAAGTGGGACCTCCAAGCTCTTAGATTTTTATCAATCAATTCCATAATTGACCCTTGGGTCTTTGCCATCCTTAGGCCTCCTGTTCTGAGACTAATGCGTTCAGTCCTCTGTTGTCGAGTTTCATTAAGAACACAAGATGCAACACAGACTTCCTCTTCTATACAGTCAAATGCCAGTAAACAGATTGACCTTTGTGGACAGTAGTTAAGAAGTGCTTAGTTAGCCAGCATCTCTGGAAGATCATTTTGAAATGGCTCCTTGGAGAAATGAAAAAAGCTAGTTTATAAACAAAACAAAGCTACCCTAATAAAACAGAGTAAACAAACATTTCAGCAGTGGTTTGCGCTACAGAGGTGCTGACAGGGCACATCACAGAAGGTGTCAGAAGGATGAGCATGTTACATGGTCTCCGAGAAGAAACCAACTGCATTTAGGATCCGGTTGCCTTTTGATTTAAGCTTTCCTGTTGAATGAGAGAGCATGTGGTTTTGTAATTTGTTTAAAACCCTAAGTAGTTACTGTGTTTTCTATTTTAATCTTCTATGTTACTGCTGCCATAAACATACAGTGTACAGCCGGGCCAGATAAAACATCACATGTATTCTCTAGGAAGTCCATACGAGGAAGCAACCAAGCCTGGTGTCTTGTGATTGCTTAAGAAGCCCTTTGTTTGGCCAGTGAATTTGGAAATCACAGGCACTTTGTAGTGTCGTATTTGTGCGCGTGGGAGGACTCTCTGGTCACTACAGTATTACGCGTGGAAAAGTAAGTGAGCTCAGCTGGGTAACGTCACCTTTTCACTCCTCCTCCGGAAGCCGGGTGTCAAAGTATCAGGTTACTTATTTTATAATGTCTGTTGTGCCAACAGTACTCAAGAACACTTTTGGAATTTTTTTCTCCACAAAAAAATAATAGGCTATTAAGAGAGTTAATTCTGATTAATATTTTTCATTCTGTTTCCGGGGAGAGGATAGGGGGCTATGCCTACAATCAAGTATTAGAATTAAGAATGGAAAAATCTGATCATTTCTCAGGAAACCCTGAAACGCTTCTAAGGCTCAGGCTGAGGCCATGACTAACATCTACTTTATAAAGTGACTGTGTTGTAGCAAAACTCATGCATCTACATTTTTATCCAGGAAGCATGGTTTGACTCATACTATATAGGAAATAATGCAACGGTGAGTCATATCTTAATATGTTTCTAAATCTAAATGTTTGCCATAGTATAAACCTGGCATTAAAATATTTCAGTGTATTTGCACTGCTTAATCATCTTAGTTCCTGCGTAAACTCATCTGAAATGTTACAAAAATAAACTATGAAACAAAAATTTAGAAATGAAATAGTGTTGATGAGTTCCCCTAAATAATAGTTTATAGAGTAGATGCGTTTTTAATGAGATAAAAGTAGAAAATTATATTTATTTTGGCAGTTTTTAAGGTATGGTTTCATTGTGATTTAAATGTTAAAATAGTCAGTATAGTACTTGGTATTAGAGTATTTTTTTTCCTTACAGCATGATCTTCAGAATAGGAGAACCACCTTATTTATTTATTTATTTTGTAGTGTCTTATTACAGGACAGCTGTTATAAAAAAACAAAAAGGGGATGTTAGTTTTTTCCAAGGTCTCATTGAGTTGCTTACGTAAAACCATTTCCTATAAGTAGTTATCAAACTAGGTGATCACTTAAAGTGATTCCAAACCAATCTAACATCAGAATATTTTGACACAATCTATGTTGAATCAGCTCTTATTTTTAAAAGAATAAATAAATGGTTTGCTTTTCTACTGATTTAAACAAACCACGCAAATTTAACATAACTGAAATCTGGACATGTAAATAAATCTTCCCTGCAAACGAGTATTCTAAAGTTAAGAAATTGTTCTAAATAGGACTAGTAATTACACTCATGGGTAATTCCTAAACATAAAATTCTGAAGTTACTTTGAATCTGGAAGACTGATTTCTTTTATCAGATGACTATTTTTTCCTCCAAATGAAAATGTTAACTACAGTCCTTCATGCCACCTCACCATCACCCCTAAATTCTGGAATAATGCCTGAGAACCTAAAAAAAGAACAACAGCAAAAACAAAACAAAAACAAAA